TGAGGGCTTTCTTGTGCATCATTTTTAGAAGAGGCTTACTTCTGTGACGACAGTCAAGCACACCAATTTGATGCAGTATGCGGCGTATGGTCTGAGAACTGACAGGCTGACCTCCCACCCCTTCAACCTCTGCAGCAATGCTGGCAGCACTCATACGTCAATTTCCCAAAGACAACCTCTGGATATAACGCTGAGCACGTGCACTCAACTTCTCTGGTCGAACATGGCGAGGCCTGTTCTGAGTGGAACCTGTCCTGTGAAACCGCTGTATGGTCTTGCACACCGTGCTGCAGCTCAGTTTCAGGGTCTTGGCAATCTTCTTATAGCCTAGGCCATCTATATGTAGAGCATCAATTCTTTTTTCAGATCTTTAGAGAGTTCTTTGCCTTAAGGTGCCATGTTGAACTTCCAGTGACAAGTATGAGAGAGTGCGAGAGCGATAACACCACATTTAGCACACCTGCTCCCTATTCACACCTGAGACCTTGTAACACTAATGAGTCACATAACACCAGGGAGGGAAAATGGATAATTGGGCCCAATTTGGACATTTCCATTTTGGGTTGTACTCACTTTTGTTGCCAATGGTTTAGACATTAATAGCTGTGTGAGTTATTTTGAGGGGACAGTAAATGTACACTGTTAAACATGCTGTACACTTACTACTTTACATTGTAGCAGAGTGTAATTTCTTCAATGTTGCCACATGAAAAGATAAAATATTTACAAAACTGTGAGGGGTGTACTCACGTTTGTGAGATAATTATATATATATATATATATATATATATATATAAATTTAATTCTAAGTGTATTTTGATATGAGAATAAATAAATATATATATATATATATATATATATATATATATATATATATATACACACACACACACAGTTTCAAGAAAAAGTATGTGAACCCTTTGGAATGATATGGATTTCTGCACAAATTGGTCATAAAATGTGATCTGATCATCTAAGTCACAACAATAGACAATCACAGTCTGCTTAAACTAATAACACAAAGAATGAAATGTTGCCATGATTTATTGAACACACCATATAAACATTCACAGTGCAGGAGGAAGTATGTGAACCCTTGGATTTAATAACTGGTTGAACCTCCTTTGGCAGCAATAACTTCAACCAAACGTTTCCTGTAGTTGCAGATCAGACGTGCACAACGGTCAGGAGTAATTCTTGACCATTCCTCTTTACAGAACTGCTTCAGTTCAGCAATATTCTTGGGATGTCTGGTGTGAATCACTTTCTTGAGGTCATGTGACAGCATCTCAATAAGGTTGAGGTCAGGACTCTGACTGGGCCACTTCAGAAGGCGTATTTTCTTCTGTTTAAGCCATTCTGTTGTTGATTTACTTCTATGCTTTGGGTCATTGTCCTGTTGCAACACTCATCTTCTGTTGAGCTTCAGCTAGTAGACAGTTGGCCTTAAGTTCTCCTGCAAAATGTCTTGATAAACTTGGGAATTAATTTTTCCTTCGATGATAGCAATCCGTCCAGGCCCTGACGCAGCAAAGCAGTCCCAAACCATGATGCCCCCACCACCATACTTCACAGTTGGGATCAAGTTTTGATGTTGGTGTGCTGTGCCTTTTTTTCACCACACGTAGTGTTATGTGTTTCTTCCAAACAACTCAACTTTGGTTTCATCTGTCCACAGAATATTTTGCCAGTACTGCTGTGGAACATCCAGGTGCTCTTGTGCAAACTGTAAATGTGCAGCAATGTTTTGTTTGGACAGCAGTGGCTTCCTCTGTGGTATCCTCCCATGAAATCCATTCTTGTTTAGTGTTTTACTTATTGTAGATTCGCTAATAGGGATGTTAGCATTTGCCAGTGACTTTTCTAAGTCTTTAGCTGACACTCTAGGATTCTTCTTCACCTCATTGAGCAGTCTGCGCTGTGCTCTTGCAGTCATCTTTACAGGATGGCCACTCCTAGGGAGAGTAGCAGCAGTGCTGAACTTTCTCCATTTATAGACAATTTGTCTTACCGTGGACTGATGAACAGCAGGGCTTTTGGAGATACTTTTATAACCCTTTCCAGCTTCATGCAAGTCAACAATTCTTAAAGGACCACTCTAGGCACCCAGACCACTTCAGCTTAATGAAGTGGTCTGGGTGCCAGGTCCAGCTAGGCTTAACCCATTCTTTTATAAACATAGCAGTTTCAGCGAAACTGCTATGTTTATCAATGGGTTAAGCCTTCCCCCAATTCCTCTAGTGGCTGTCTCATTGACAGCCGCTAGAGGTGCTTGCGTGCTTCTCACTGTGATAATGCTTTCCTATGTGACCGGCTGAATGCGCGCGCAGCCAGCCACATGGGAGGAGAAAAGGAGGATCGGAGGAGGAGAGCTCCTCGCCCAGCGCTGGAAAAAGGTAAGTTTTTACCCCTTTCCCCCTTCCAGAGCTGGGCGGGAGGGGGACCCTGAGGGTGGGGGCACCCTCAGGGCACTATAGTGCCAGGAAAACAAGTGTTTTCCTGGCACTATAGTGGTCCTTTAATCATAGGTCTTCTGAGAGCTCTTTTGTGCGAGGCATCATTCACATCAGGCAATGCTTCTTGTGAAAAGCAAACCCAGAACTGGTGTGTGTTTTTTATAGGGCAGGGCAGCTGTAACCAACACCTCCAATCTCATCTCATTGATTGGACTCCAGTTGGCTGACATCTCACTCCAATTAGCTCTTGGAGATGTCATTAGTCTAGGGGTTCACATACTTTTTCCACCTGCACTGTGAATGTTTACATGGTGTGTTCAATAAAAACATGGCAACATTTCATTCTTTGTGTGTTATTAGTTTAAGCAGACTATGATTGTCTATTGTTGTGACTTAGATGATGATCAGATCACATTTTATGACCAATTTGTGCAGAAATCCATATCATTCCAAAGGGTTCACATACTTTTTCTTGCAACTGTGTGTATATATATATATATATATATATATATAAATATTGTAAATATTATTTAATATATATTTTACATGGTCATACACACGTACATAATGTAACACACACACACTCTCACAGACAGACACACTCACTGACACACTGTCATGATTACTGATCGGCAGATACACTGTGCAGCACTTCCAGGTTCACCGATAAGGCCCCGTCTGTGTTCTGATGTCACCCACACCTGTGTTAAAAGGAAGCTGCAGGTAATCTCAAATTGCTCAATCAATTTGCTTATGCTTTTCCCAGTGATACACTCATCTGCCGTCTGAGCTCCCCTAAATACTACTGGTTTACCAAACATTGGCCAATGGAAAACAGACCTTGTAGACCTCTATAACCCTGATTAAGGACCGGACTTGTTACTACTCCTTTTTCAACTTCCAAGAGACAAGTTAAACAAAGGTTTTTTCTTTTTAGTTAATTGCATGAGCTCTAGATTTACCTGAAGCAAGCAGCTGTCTCCTCATTACCACCTATTGCTGCAATCCAAGTATTTCTGCTTGCTATTTCTGTTTTACTTGGAAAATCACCTTTCTGCAACTATCTTGCTTGTTCAATTTTTTTACTTAACTAAATATCTTTTTGGAAAAGGATTACAAAGGAAAAGATCTGTTTTATTTATGAATTTGTATGCAATTAAACTGGAAGATCTCTTGCAAGACTTTAACAAAGTAAGTTTTTCTTTTTTTTCCCATTTCCTTAAAGAGACATCCATTCTTTAAATTTTACTGCAATTGAGTTCCATGAAATTTAATTCCAGAGTATTACACACACACAAATACACTCACTCGCTGACAGACGAGCACCCACAGTTACTGACAGACAAACTCCCTGTCAGACGCATACTAGGTCACTGACTGACTCACTGACAGACATACTCACTGACACACACACAAATTAATTTTTAGAGGGCCACCCAGCCTCCCTACCTTTGGGAGAGCTGTTGTGGGTCCTCTCCTATCCCTGGGAATCAGTGTGGGGCAACTCCTCACATGCGCTGTTTGGAATGATGGAGCTGGAATTACATCATATTCCAGTTCCCAGCATCACAGAGGGCGCGCGTGGGAGGAGTGAGAAACTGCAAAAACAGCCTCCCTCGCAGCCCACTCTTGCCTGCCTTCTCCTTCCCCCTCTCCTCCAGCATTTTTCGGCAGAGCAGGTGTCTGCTCTGCCATACTTATTAAAGCACAGCTTTGGGGGTGCCCTGATGTGGCCACCTTCGAGCGCCTGGAGGATGTGTAAATGTGTTTGTCCATCCGCTTCTTAATACTGACCGACACACACTCACAGACAGTGGAGTACCTGGAGGTGCACAGAGGCACGCAACGTCACATTCCGACATGACATCGATGTGCTCCACCTTCACAGGGTTTCAAGTAGTAGCAGCAGTACCCGCTTTGGCACAGGGTGCGGATGGTGCAATTTGGGGTATACCAGAGGCCAGACTCCAGAGGGTCCCATACAGGCAGCGGCAATGTGAGTGGAGCCAGCTTGTTGGCTGGGGACTGACTTGGATTTAGTAGAGGGGGATGCTGTTTTTTTCTTCTTCATACTGTACTTTTCAAAATAAACCTACGTTCTATGAAAATAAGTTGGTTTTTTTTGTTTGGTTTTTTTGGGGTTTTTTTGGCCCACATAAACTTAAACCTTGTTTATTTGGCCTGTACTAGACTTTGAGTTTGACATGCGTGTCTTCGACTAAATCTCCATTCTTTGGGTCTAAAAGCTTGAGTTTTTGTACTATATTTAGATGGGGTTGGGGAAGCTAGATAGTGTTTTTAACACTATATGGTCAGGAATACAGATTTGTGTTCCTAACCCTATAGTATTTCTTTAAAATGGTATTTAATTTTTCTGGAATAAGACATGTGTGAACAGTAAACCAAAACTACATGAGTTCACTCCAAATGCATGAAAGTGGGACACCTTTGTCCCATGAACAATGCACAGGGAATCCTGGGGCAATTTATTATTATTTTTTTTATTAGTTGCCATGCTATGCCAGCACAGCTAGTACCAACATATAATTCACAAGTTGACTCAGACTTTCCCTCTAAAGTGGCAGTAATCCATTCTACACAGACACAATGATATAGAAACCACACAGCATATACATTATTTTATTATTCAAGTTTTTGGCAATATTAAAATGTGTAATCAACAAGTACAATTAGACATTAAACATTAGCATTTCATTGCATGCATCACTGCACCTCATAAAAACAAGCAGTCAGGTACTAGATACATGTTAATAATAAGCTTTCTAGTAAAATAAATTTACTTTGGATAGTTTAGAGAGTTTAAGAGGAATAACCAGCAAAAAGCCCAACTAAAACTCCCATTATTCTCAGCTAGCCTGGCATTTGTCCTGGCAAATAAGATGCACATCAAACCAGCTACTTACTGTTCCCGTTCATCATTAGATAGAGATACTAGGGACAGACAATATTGGTGATTTGTGGCAATTTATCAGAAATCTGTTAACTCACACTCCATTTGCAAAAAGTTATCATGTTTGTGTCCTCTATTGGGTAAAACATTCTCCCTCTTACCAACAATCAGCCAAAAGGGTTTGGGTTTTTTTGACAGGTGATAAATTCAAACAGAGATGGATGTCAAGTTAAAGCATCAGTTTTTGCCTTGATAAATTCTACCTAACAGGGTTATTTACTAAATTGAATATTCAAAGTGAATTCAATTTACAGGCCAGAGAAACCAAACAGAATGTATATACTTCCAGTTCGGTTATTTTGGCCTTAAATTAGATATTTGCAATTGGTGTCTCCTAATACCCTGTAAAAGAGAGGTAAAATGAGTTGGGTTTATTAGTTGTTGAGTATCTGATCAATGCTTGAAGTTATACTATAGTATCGTATGACTCCAAGTGTATTTTCATTTTACAAATCTAAAGTTTGTGGAATTAGTATGAATATAGAGATTTCTCTAACTAAACAGCCTATAGAGAATATTTTTGTAATTAAATATTATATAATTAAGAAAAACAAAGCCTGAATGTTGAGGGGCTCAGAACACTGTCTTGTGTGTTTCATTACTGGGGCACTCAAACAAACAATTTAAGAAGATAAGCATTTTTTAAAATTTTTACCTTTTGCAAACAGTTTCTAATTAGATATTACTGCCGCTGAGCTGTAAGAGAAAAAAAAAATGTACTGAAAAATCTGAGGACAATGGAATTTGTTTCCACAATGCTTGTGCTATAACGGAGAATAAAAGTGTACCACATGGAATATTATTTTTAAAAAGTGTGTGTATATATGTATGTATATAATATATCTCTCTCTATCTCAAAAATAGTACCACAATAGAAGCCAATTCGATATAGTGCTTTTATCAAAAATAAATGTTTACATGGCAGTGTGTGTGTGTGTATGTATATATTTACACACACACACACACACGCACAATTTATGTTTTACATTTAAAGTCTTTGTTTACTCCAAATTTCAATCTACAAAACAGTTTCCAGGAAAATAAACCCATAGAACTTCTTCAAAGCTTTTTAGACAACTTAATTCCATTATTAAATTACTTCCAAAAGCATAAAATATAAAATTGGAGTTCTATTAAAATTTTAGGGCCTGTGACCTTATAGTTTTCTACGATGCACCAAAATTGGCTTCCTAGATTATTATTTATATAGCGCCATCACATTTCGTAGTGCTGTACAATGGGTGGACTAACAGACATGTAATTGTAACCAGACAACTGGACGTATAGGAACAGAGAGGTGGAGGGCCCTGCTCAATGAGCTTACATTAGATTAAAAAAAATGACTGGTGTGGCCATTGTCTGTATTCAATAGTTCACTTTCTAACACCTCAAATCAGTTGTACATATTTGGCACTAACAGTCTTAGAGGAGTTAAATGAATCCAATTATTAAATCTCAACGGTTTTCAAGAACTGTAGTGTAATGTTGCTTAGTATGTACCTTTCAATATGCACAGAAGTGCAAAGCCAGAGCTGATGATATATATATATTTTTAAACATATACAATGAAACAATAGAATTTGATGGTGAGGGGATACAAGCTCACAGTGTAAATCAGGAAAAATCTAAAATTAGTCTTGTGCACAGAAAAATTATTTTTGCGCAAATATTTTTTTCTAAATATAAAAATGTTATTGGGACTACTGAATTTCAGCCATATGTCCATTGAGCTTGGTAGAATTCAGGTAACAAGAAACCTATTCTGAAAACAAAATCAGACAAACCAAAAAAAGGTGTAAAATGGGCCAATATACAGCAAAAAGATTTATATTATGTATATGTTTTGTAGTACACTCATTTCCCACTATTTGGTTCATAGATCAAGTGAGCAGTAAAAAATAAAAATCAATTTTTATATATTAAATATACACATTGTTTTTATGGTTCACCTTCATCCCCCTCACTTCTTACTTGATCTGTGGGGGGGAAAAAAAGTGACTGTCCCCTAGCTATCAATCATCCCTTTTCTCATTAAAGGGTTACTCCAGACCTCTAAGCAACTTAAGCTTGCTGAAAAGCTTTGTGTGAAGAGTGGCTCCACTTTTTTTTTTTTATATTAAAATTTTGCACAAAGTGCCAGTTTCAGTAAAAATTTACACTTTTGTAAATTAACCTGGTTACACACCCTTGGCTTTCATGCAGACAACAGGTAATGTTACTTCCTGGTGTCGTTCGCTCAATGCAGCTGACCTCAAGAGGCAGTAATTGCATAGAGCACCTGTCTACGAAGAAGTAAGTAGAAGTATAGATCAGGGTGTTGCACTGGATGTGATCTACTTGGATTTTGCCAAGGCATTTGATACGGTTCCTCACAACAGGTTAGTCTTCAAACTAAAAGAAATTGGTCTAGATGAATATTCTTGTTCTTGGGTAGAACATTGGCTTAAGGATAGAGTACAACGAGTTGTCATTAATGGTAAATTTTCAGGCTGGACAAAAGTAAGTAGTGTCCCTCAGGGTTCTGTTTTGGGACCACTTCTATTTAACATTTATTGAAAGCCATGTATCAGTGTTTGCAGATGACAAAACTTTGTAAAGCAATAAAATGTGAGCAGGATATTGCTTTGCTGCAGAGGGATTTGGATAGATTGGGGGACTGGGCACTAAAATGGCAGATGAAATTTAACGTAGAGAAATGCAAAGTTATGCACTTCGGGGTTAAGAATGCACAAGCAATTTACACCCTAAATGGTAGTGAACTAGGGATAACCACACACGAGAAGGATTTGGGAATTGTTATAGACAACAAATTAGGCAGCAATATGCAATGTCAATCTGAGGTTGCTAAGGCCAGTAAGGTTTTGTCATGTATAAATAGGGGCATAAATTCTCTATATGAAAATATAATTTTGCCTCTTTATAAATCGCTCTTTATAAGACCACACCTTGAATATGCTGTGCAGTTTTGGGCGCCTGTTCTAAAGAAAGATGATATGGCACTAGAAAAAGTCCAGAGACGAGCTACAAAATTGATAAAAGGAATGGAGCATTTTAGTTATGAAGAAAGGTTAAAAAAATGAAATCTCTTTAGTTTGGAAAAAACGGCGCCTGAGAGGGGATATGATAACATTATACAAATATATTCGGGGCCAGTACAAACCTTTATCTGGAAATCTATTCATAAACAGGGCTATACATAGGACACAAGGTCACACATTTAGGCTGGAAGAAAGGAGAATTAATCTAAAGCAATAAGGATATGGAATTATCTGCCTGAAGAGGTGGTTTTGTCAGTCATTACAGATGTTTAAACTGCAATTGGATAAATACTTGCAAAAACATAACATACAGGGATATGATTTCTAATTAGTGGGGTAATAGCAAGGAGACATCTGACTGCTATTTTGGGGTCAAGAAGGAATTTATTCCTAGTTTGTGGCAAAATTGGAAGCGCTTCAGACTAGGTTTTTTGCCTTCTTTTGGATCAACAGCAAAAACATGTGAGGAAAGCTGAACTTGATGGACACAAGTCTCTTTTCAGCTATGTAACTATGTAACGTACAAAGACTTCTTCTCATTGAACGGCATTGGGAAGCCTGTGACTGAAGCCAAAGAAAGTCTGGGCAAGGTTAGAAGGGGAGAGCTTGCAAAGGCCGTAGACAAGAGAACTGCAGGTTTTGAAAGTTGATTTTATATATATCCCCATGTAAAAAAAAATTCATAATTAAGTTTTCATTTGGGGTATATCTACCAAACAATGATTTTTAGTGTATTTGGGCAGTGGAGTGTGCCTTTTAATTTGGAATCATAAATCAAAATGAACATTGTCATTTGTAGTTAATTTGTGATTCAGATACATTTCGCCTTGAATGCAGGAATTTCGACCAATAAATTAATCAGCTTAAAGTTGGATGCACTGAGGGTCAGAATGAAATGAATCTCGAAGTCTAATATACTGAAGAAGTAAGATTAAATAAAGCAATAACAAACCATTTCCTTCAAAATCATACATGGGTTAAATCTTTACTCTGTTATCAAACAGAGCCTTGACCAAATTTCTAAATATGCACTTCTGCCAATGTTTTGATTCACATGGATTCTCATGAAAATAGATGTCCAGATGTCCAGTGCAGGACAATAGACCAATAAATGAAGTGCATAAATGCATCATTAGAAAAATCAGATTTAATCTGTAAGATTAAGACAAAGTTGTAAAGAAACACTCCAAGCAACATAAGCCTATTTGTATAGGTTATGACAAAAGGTTCAATTTCTCTAACTCAGATTCTTCCTAGATAAACGAATTGCACTGGTAGGCCCATGGCAACAAGGTACTGCATAAAATGGAAACATGTGACATGCATATCTATGAGGGAACCTGTATAGGAGCCATTACATGAGAGGGCCAGAATCGGCTGAGAAAGCTCAGCCACCCCCAGTCTGCACAGAGAGTCTTTCAGAAATTGGTATTTTGAATTAATTATATTTTTGCTTCATTAACACCGTGTTTAGTTTAATTCCATAAATCGACTGAGGATCGTATACCTCCAAAACTATATTTATGACTCATGTAAACGTCGCACTTCTTATTTGTCAGTACCAACCAGCAACAATCAACATGGTTTTGATTCAAGCATAGAGTTGTCATTAAATGAGTGTACGTACATAAAAAAAAATGGTTATAGTGCAAAGAATCCACTTCCATTTTTTTTGCCATAACAGCTTGGATAATGTTGACGTTTTGGCAGCTTGTTGTACATAAGTGAAAGATTTACATTATCGGAGCAGTAGATTGGCTAGGTTGTAGGTTATAAGAGCTTATTTATTTATTTATTTTTATTTTTTTATCCACTCCTCCTCCTTGCACTACAATACCATATCCTTCACATTTAACATGCCAAAGGACTTCACTTTATGACAAGCTCATAGCTTCTCATTTGTTTTTATAGTGGTCAGTCCACTGGTAGAGACATGCAAATGGTAGGTTACACTCCATGGCAAATTTAATCAATTCTTTCTAAAGAATGCAAACAAAAGAGGCTCAATTTTGTGGATGAATACCTTACTGCTTACGCACAAAATTACACATTCTGATTTGTTACTGAAGAGGCTCTGCTTGGGAAACTAAATGTGGTGTGCAGGGGAAAGAACAGAAGTGGCAGCCGGATAACTGTTCCAGGCTCTCTCCCTGTATAGCAACAGGCCTCCATTCCAATATGTTGCTAGGCAGGGGACACTTAAAGGGACCAGTGAAAACACACTCAGTGTCAATATAGCAGTTGCCTGGTATGATCTATGACCAGTCTGCAGCCTTTAAAAAAATAAAATAAAAATATAAGGTTACAGAGAACATATGATGCTAGTGACCAATAAAAGTCTGACTGCAGCATGGCTTCCAGGTTTATGTGTAGGTCAATTTTCTTTTTCCTTTAACTCTGTGCTCAACGTGACCAGTGTTAGTTGGATTTTTTTGTATATGAAACAATGAACAAATGTAAATACTGAATAGACCATTTCTGGGCCACTTTAAAGGCCTGATTTTGTAAATGATGCAAAATGATAAATCTATGCATCAGTGAATAGATCTGTAACAATGTTTATGTTATTTCCAGTCAGATATTCAAAATCTGACTTAAGGCATGGAGGGCATTCACCAAAATGAAATTGTGGTGAATATGCAGCAGAGCAGCACACTTTATTCTAGAAGAGCTGAGGTGCTACATTTTACTGTTCCTTTGTCATTTAATCTTAATTTCCTGATTAGTGAATAATTTTTTTTTTTTTTTTTTTTACTCAGGATACAGAGTACAGAGTAAATCTGTTATATTTGTTAGTGATACAAATAAGTGCTCTGTGTGTGTGTGTGTATATATATATATATATGCACACACACACACACATCTAATTATATGTACAAACAGCCATGTATGGTGCATAAAAAAAGTGCCATGTGTTTGCCTATACATTAGATATGCAGATCCTGAATTCCTATGAATGAGAAAATCAAGACATACATGCAACACTGTAAAGCTTTTAAATAACTGAAACTATGCTCTAAATGGACAGTAACTCACAAAAGGTACAATGAGTGGAGTACCACTAACCACTCTCTGGCTTAGGGAGGATCACTCCTTGTGTGCGCTGGATCAGAATTACACTTTTATGCACCACATATGGTAGTTTGTACGGATAATTAGATTTATTGCACTAGTATTTGCATATATATTGCACAGATTGTTTGTGCACCATTATTTTTAAATATAGATTTATGCCAATAATCTGAGTGGTTGCTGCACTCGAATTGCACTTTATTTGATGGTAACTCTGATATTATTACTTTTTTTTTAAATTTACTATGAATATTGGGGCACTTGCACTTAAGTATTTGCTAAACATATTATTGCGCCAATTCTTTTACTTAACTTCTTTATATAAAAAAAATAAAAATAAAAAAAAAACCTGTGGGTTTTCACCTAATTTTGTTTACAGTGGTCTTACATTATTTCACATGTGGGTAACAAAGCTTTTTTGCCACCGCGCTGCGGGGCAGTAACTCCAGCTTTCCCATAGTAGCCTGAAAATATGGTCTTTACCTCAATCTTTCTGGATAGGTTTAGCATCCACATGCCATTTTCATAATAATATATCTTGCCCCCACATATTTCACCTAAATCTTCCTTCTCCCCCCCTGACTGTTGCAACTTGATGAACTCCAGTAGGTCGATACCAGTTTGGACATCTTGTACATCTGCTGCAGTGCCCAGAGTGATATGGGCACGGCTCCCCTTTGGGAAGGTATCCTTTGGCATCACCTCTTTCTCAGCATCTTGTGGCCACAGAGTAAGCTGTTCTTCGGTCAGTTCCACACGTGCTCCTGCTGTCCTGGGAGTTACGAAGAGTGCTGTAATGTGGAGGATGTAAGCTTTGGAGTAACCCTTTTTTACAGCCTTGTAAAATTAAGAAAGACAAGGAAAATGATTAAACCATGCATGATTTTTTTACTTTTATGTACAGTGGAATGGACTTATTAGTGATATTGCAGAAGGTCTTGATGGTAAGGTATGTCTTTTTGCTGATGATACTAAGATATATAACAGGGTTGATGATCCAGGAGGGATAAGCAAAATGGCAAATTATTTAGGTAAACTAGAAAAATGGTCAGTGTTGTGGCAACTGACATTTAATATGGATAAGTACAAGATAATGCATCTTGGATGTAAAAACCCAAGGGCAGAGTACAGAATATTTGATAGAGTCCTAACCTCAACATCTGAGGAAAGGGATTTAGGGGTGATTATTTCTGTAATAATGACAATCTAATAGAGCAGCAGGAAATGCTAGCAGAATGCTTAGTTGTATAGGGAGAGGTGTTAGCAGTAAAGAAAGAGGGAAGTGCTCATGCCATTGTACAGAATGCTGGTGAGACCTCACTTGGAGTATTATATGAGGTACTGGAGATCGTATCTCCAGAAGGATATTGATACTCTAGAAAGAGTTTAGAGAAGGGCTACTAAGCTGGTTCATGGATTGCAGGATAAAAACTTACCAGGAAAGGTTAAAGGAACTTAACATGTATAGCTTGGAGGAAAGATGATAGAAACCATAAATAAGGGGAATCAACACAGTAAAGGAGGAGACAATATTTAAAAGAAAAAAAAAAAAACTTCCACAACAAGAGGACATAGTCTTAAATTAGAGGGGCAAAGGTTTAAAAATAATATCAGGAAGTATTACTTTACTGAGAGGGTAGTGGATGCATGGAATAGCCTTCCAGCTCAAGTGGTAGAGGTTAACACAGTAAAGGAGTTTAAGCATGCGTGGGATATGCATAAGGCTATCCTAACTATAAGATAAGGCCAGGGACTAATGAAAGTATTTTGAAAATTGGGCAGACTAGATGGTCTTATCTGCCATCACATTCTATGTTTCTATGTTCCTCTAAAAGAAAAATGCTATTTTATTTTTTAAATTCATTACAGTTCATTGTTTAGTGAATAACATCCATAATGTTTAGTTAGTGTAGAACCACTCACACAATATTCTCCTTTAGGTGTACAGTGTGTGGATGTAAATAACTTTACATTAAACAACAGGCCTCACTTTATAATTTGAAATGGTGTTTTAGAGTACACTATATTATTATTATTGGCATTTATAAAAGTGCTTTGTACATTTCTCAACCACATGCCAAACTCCATGGTTCACTAATTACCTCCATTTTGGCATATTCTTCAGATCCTGCCACCTTTCCGTAGTCACAGTATTTGGTTGTGCAATGCAGAATGTTGGGAGTTTTACCAAAATATTTCAGAAGATCTAACTTGTGTTTGTCTTCGTAGCCATCTGCAGACAACAGAAAATTATAAAGGTAGTAAATATTTGGTAAAAGAATTGCCAATTCTTACACATTTTCTTTAACTCTTTCACCAAGTTGTTTTTTTCTTTAAAAGGTACACTATAGTCTTCAGAACAACTACAGCTTAATGTAGTAGTTCTGGCGTCCATAGCCTGTCCCTGCAGGCTTGTTAATGTAAACACTGCCTTTTAAGAGAAATGTTTATGCCTTTCCTATGGGAAAGCATTGGATTGGCTGAGGTCATCAAGTTTGATGATCTCAACCAAGGGGGTTGGTTTACCGGACCTGCACTGCGCTGGAAAAAGAGTAAACTCACCTTTTTAACTGGAGCCAAGGGGGAGCTAGGGGACTAAACCGTAATTTAAGCTATAATGTCAGGAATACAGGTTTGTATTCCTGACACTATAGTGTTCCTTTAAGCAAGCGGCAACATTTTAAAATGAGGCATTCCGAGGTTCCAGAACCACCCAGGGCTTGAGCCTGAAGGAAAGTTAAATTACCACTACACTAACAGAGAGGTGGAGATACGTCATAATATTTCCCCCTTTTTATCTGTCTCCAGGATAAAAAGCAGGGACAAGCAAAAACATATACTGCACAGCTAGGTATTCAATGTGATTGCCAAGAGGGATGTGCAGCAAAGTTCTGATCCCCAACACCTCTTGCCAACATTCATCTGGGGGACATCACCCTGCTCCTAAGTAGCCTGGTGGAGAACTATGCTATTGATCTTTCTTTTTATAAAAGGCAGCCATTTTTTGAAGATCCTGCCTGAAGTACAATGAAAAAAATGCATTATATTAAAGACGAATATAAATATCCATAGGATTTTACTGGGCCAACAGTTTAGAGGTAAGGACACAGTCTCATTCGCCTATAAAACATCCTTCATAAAACAACAATATTTGCTGTCTTAGGGGATCCCAGTTTTCACTCAAGCACACACAAGGATTTAGAGAATTATTATTATCATTTATATAGCGCCAACAGATTCCGTAGCGCTTTATATAGGATATGACTCTTGGCATGCCAGGAGAGCTTTGGTAACAAGAATTCATTGTTTTGCAGCACCATACATATATACCTGACTAAAGTTAAACTACAAAACAAAAAATTATATATACACACATACACATACACAGGAGAGAGGGATAGATATCACAAACACATTAATAAATGAAGCCAGCAGGTGTAGAATTAAAAAATTTATAATAGTGAAATGGGGATTCTACAGGTACAATAGATTCCACACTGGGACATCATATTGGAATCATACTACTTTTTAGTTATTATGCAGGAGTATGAGTTTCCTGTGTTATAGACAAACCTTTATTAATCAGTTTTCTGGAGGTGAAAACTATTAATTTTATACATGGAGTAAAGGGCTGCATTATTGTGATGTAATATGTTAATTGGGAAAGGTAAGTAAAATTGCTCCCATCTACATAGAAATGTAGATTGACAAAAGTACATCAAATTCAATTTACACATCTCAGTTCCAACATCTCCTTAAGCAGATGTTGATTTGGATCAATAAGCAGTTATCCAACTTATGAACATGGCTCCCAAGCGTCCCAATTATGGGGAGACAGTCCAGATTGTTAGGTCCTGTCTCAAGCTCCTGACTTTCTAACCTGGTGTCCCACTTTTGGGGACACCAGAGAACTGTCCCCAACAAACAGAGCGAGCACATCATTAGACTTGCAAGTGCTGCGCTCATGGCATTGCTACCTTTCAGAGGCCAGCCTGCATGAGGGACAGTCAACTTGGTGTGCATTCACACCAAGTTGACCTGCCAATCCTTTGGATAGCAAATATAATATTTCTGCTGTAGGCAACATTTCCATTCAAGTTTTAAGGATCAATTGGTCAAATATTTGTAGTCAATAACGTTTGAGTAAAGAAAAGAGTTGATGGCCACTACTTAGGTGCCTGCTGGTTAGATACCTCAAATATATGCAACTTTGAAGCAGTGGTTGACACTCCCACCATAGTGAAGTATACACAATTTCCTTTTGGTAAAGACTCTTTAAAACAGTACATGCAACTTCCGGTAATTTAAAAGGGACAGTACACTCTAAATAAAAATATTGTATCTTGCTTACTTGTAACAATATGTTCTCTTGATGACCCAAGTGAAGATTGTTTCTGAGCATGTTTGCCCTCTAGAATATAAAAAGTAGGGGCGAGGAATTTTAATTGCCTGACGCCTGCGTAATGCTGTAAGTTTATTTATTCTTTTACCCCTGTCAGTTGACAAGCGGCAGGGCTACCTTGGGGGTATAGATGCCCGGCAGACACTGTACCAGGGTACCACCTATGCCTCCAAGGCATTATTGTGAAGACCGTACTGGCCCACCAGGAAATGTCCTGCAGCTAGGGCAGTCTGCTGCTTATCGGTGGCTGCGGCAGCAGTTAGCAGTTCCTTGTGATGCACATGGCTGAATCCCACCAGGATAAAGCATGATGTCATATCCCAGCAGCCAGCACTGTGCATGGCAGACAGAGAATGGGACAGGCTATACACTCACTGCTGAAAATCCAGGCAGATGCTGGTGTCGGAGTGTCAGAGAATGTGTAGTTTGTGTGTATATGGGTCAGTCAGTAAGTCTGTGTTAGTGGATGCATGTAGCAGTGTGCAGTATATTTTGTTTACGGGTCTGTATATGTGTATATCACAAATCACATCCATGTACAGCCAGCACGCGTGCGTGCGTGCGCGCGCGCACGCACGCACGCACACACACACACACACACACACACAGCAGAGGGTATGACATTCATAGTAATTCCCAATTTATTCCAAACAAGCTATTTTTGCCTCCATTTTTTCTTTCAGATTTAATTTGTAAATAGCTCAGCAAATAGCTCTGTCAATGTCCAGGTTTCTTCGCAGAAGCCCCAACCTTTGTAATTTAAATTATTTTACATTGGGACAAGTATGTTGACCAGACTGACAAGTAGATTTTTAAAAGATTCAATACTCCTGAACTCACGCTACTAAACTGAACCACTGATAAAGTTCCATAAATGTGACTACAACTCAAAGGGGAATTGTACATCGAACCCTGTATAAAATATATAGATGAACATTTTTCTTTGTGTCAAAACTTTGCTGCCACCAGGCTCCAAAAGTAATGATTTTTCAGATGAAGAGCTCTATTTAAAGGAACACACTGGGCACCATAATAACTTCATCAAAATTACCTTATGGTGGCAGGAGGTCCCTTGTGTGGGCTTACCTTTAGGTAAACGAACAGTATAAACCCCTACCCAAATCTTCCGTTCTTGAGAAAGCAGAAGGACTGTGGAGCAAAAGGAGCTGGCAATGGAGCACAGACCTTGAGGTTAAACCATACATACACGATTTAAACCCTAAAGGTAAGTCAGTGTCATTGACATCCAGGCACCATAACAACTTAATGTTAATGAAGTTCTTATGGTGCACGGAGTGTACTTTTTACCAATAGCCCATCATATTCTCAATTGCATATTAGATGTTCCTCTATACTAGTATTAGCTTAGTTTGTGGAATTCAATTCCCATTCGACCAAAGCCAACTATACCTCAATTATACATAGTGAACAGGAGCCATAATGCACCTACTACAAAATAATTATGTGCCCTTCTAAAGCAACTCAGATTCTCCACACTCTAAACAGTTCATTATAAAATGCTATATTTCACAAATGCCAACATATACATTTTGCTCTACCACCCCCACACTACTAAATGTTTTAATTTATTATTCCTTCCAACCAAGACTATTTTCATTCCTTGTTTCTCTCACTAATTACTCAGCTAGTAGAATCCCAACAGAAAACCTCATCACAGCATTTATTCTAGATTCACATTCTTATTTTTCTTTTCTTAGAAGCATACAAAGTTAGGGTGTTGATCTGTTAGTCCCCCTGACATTTGAGAAGGAACATCTACTATTGCTTCTGCCTGTAACCTCATGTGATAAATTGTTCAACCCAGTGTCTTTTAGAACAATAACCCTCTATACACTCATTCTTCTTAGCCCACTCATTTGAAATTCACTACATTTGTACTTCACCCACCCCAAAGTTTACACTACTGGACCAATAATGTCTAGATACATTTACATTATTTGCAGAGTGTAATATGGTGTTTCATAGAGAAAGAATACTCATTATATGCACCACTAAGAAGCAGTAATGCAAGATACAGAGTGTTTTCAATATCAAACCATAGTTTTCTTATCAATTAGTTTTCCTGTATGTAATCTAAATCATTTTGGTTAATGTTGTGCATTTTACATACATTCTTGCAAACGCTTCCTAAATGGCTTGAAATTGCTCAACTGCTCCAGGAAGTCATGACTGGTCTTTCTTAGTGTATCCTCATCACGTTTCATCACAAACCAGCCGAAGTACAGCGGGACAAGTTCCTTTTCCAAAGTAGGCCTTAAGTTCTTCAATTCCTCTAGAGACAACTTCCAATGATTTCGATCCTTTAACTGACCACAGTCCAGTCTCCAAGGAGTTTTGGGTTCTAGTATAAGTACCGTGAAGTGGTACTTGTTGGCTAAATCAAAGAGCCCGTTCAGCCGTTCCTGGTCATGATGTGTGTCATCAAGAATGACCAAGTTAGCTTCACGTCTCTCACAGCATGTGTTGAGCTCCTCATCCATTTTAGAGTACTCTCCTTCATCAGATGGCCTAATAGTTGGTTTGATGTTGTGGTTATCAGCAGAAATTAAACGGGAGTTGTCCTTAAATTTTTGTTCTATTTCCTTCGCCAAGCTGGTCTTCCCACTACCTGGCAAACCTCTCAAGATAACCAAGATCTTTGATTCTCGAACAGTGGTGACTGTGTGGTCATCCACAAGCAATGGGATCTTGTGACCCTCTGTGTGGTCTTTCGCAGCTTGTGTAGACATTGTAAGATTTAGAGTCTTGGCCAACAATCGCTTGGATCTCTTCAATGTGGCAGTTACCTACAGGAAACAAAAAAAGTGACATATGAACATAAAACCAATTTATTGGGATGTTTATTATATTATATTCATATAATTCTTGTGAGAATTCAGTGAGAAAATATGTTCCTTATTTCCAAAGAAACTTATTATGTTGCCCAAAAAGATACAACTGGTAAAAGAAATGCTCTGTTAAAGATATGAAAATGTTTACATCTTGAAAATATAAAAAAATACTATGCATTTCTTTCGATCAGTGGAAACTACACAACAATCATTCAGTGATGGCGAAGGAATTTTATCAGCACTAGTTGAAAATTGTCCATTGTCCAAATTAATGTTCAAACAATAACCCCTAACAAAACAAAAGAGTGGTGTGTGAGTTGGCTTTATACACAGTTGATACCATTCACAGCTTCCCACTGCCATCTGCACTCTTCAGAACAGCAGCATTATTGTCAAGAAAGTTAACACTTTTACCACTGCAATTTATTGGCGACCAGTGTCCATCCTAAAATACAGTAGGAGGAAAAACCAAAGAGTAGACCAGTAAAAACCCATGCTACAAAAACAGGTTTCTAAATTAGTGCATCCGCATATAAACATATATACTTCCAGATACATTCATATTTTGTCTTTGAACAAAATGACAATCGGTCAAAAACCCAACTATACAAACATAACTACTAAGCTGTCTGTACCAAAACCACACATTTTTTCCATTTGAAGGTACAGCACAATCTTCCAACAAATCTCCCCAAATCTACTAACACACCCATTATATATGTAACTTTAAGTAAAATACTTTTCCTATGACTTATACTTTGACTAGCAATATGTAGAAATAAATATGCATAGGAGCTCCTCCTGAACTTAAAACTATATATGAAAGTGTTAAATCACTCAGTATATACACCACATGGAGCACACTGGTCAAACTCATCTTATTAACGGATATAATACCCTAAAGCAATGAGTTTTCATAATGGGAGAATATACTAATTTACTAAAACAATTATAGGTGTTTATTATGCTTTTCACTGAAATGTAATTAAATGAAAACTAAACTACAAAATGTAGTCAAAAACTGCTGGTTTTGAAAAGTTGCCCAACTCAGATTTACTGGATGCCTGGCTATTGCGATTTGGGTTTCAGTTAACAATACTCGATTTATTTATTTGTATTATGTTAGGCCCACATACTGTGTGCTCTCACATTGAAAAGTACGGTTTGGTGTTAAACATTTTACACACAGAATAAACACCAGGACGTTTTAAGACATTTCTCACAGTTTCCAGTCCAGCCCAACTGTTTTCAGGAGCACAAAGGTAGAATGAGCTATCAAGCAGGCTTGAAGGATGTGCATGGATATGTACACAAATATACACACTGTCCATTTCTCAAAATGCCCATATCTATAAATATACAGGTGATTAATACACCTCCCTAGATAAATACCAGTACTATGCATCTTACATGTACCAGGGCACGTGTCTCCGAATACACAGACTTCAGAAGTAATTTTACATTCTACTTCTCGATACCTAGATATTATTCAGGTCCGGTCACTATGCCTACTGCACTTCCACGGAGAACGTATATTTCACTTTATGTGAACACATTTGGGCACACTATTCTAATCAGAAATGTGGGCACACCTTCCATCCTCTCCTAATAGGCAATGCACGCAGTGCACACATCTCAGGCCCTCTCCTCATAGGTAGCTATCCAGGTATATACCACTGACCCTCTCCTATAAGGTCGCACCTCTGACCTGGTCCTAAAAGGTCGGCATATAGACACACAACTGTCACCTTCTTCTCTGTATCACAAAATATTAATTTGTGTTCTCTTAATACACGGCTATCGTAACCTGTAATTCACTTCTTTTATAGAACACAGTAATAAACCTCAGCTCTATTTACAATACAGACCTCAGAAGTACATCTCGCTGGTTAATACTATAAACACAGTTTATCCAATTTTAGCACAGACACATGAAGGGACCTCCCTTATAAGTGTCACGAATAACAAACAGATTAAGTCAGAGTTGGACAACCAGAAATGATGCAATGTATTGTAGCACTCAAGGATACAGAACGTTTTAAAAAAAGAATCATGGGATGTTACCTTGCAGCAGGTGAAAAGGCCCCGGGTAATGCTGATCTGTAGCACTCTAGCAGGGAGCAGTAAGAGTTGAGTACTGAACAGGAGCTTTGTGTTTAAGAGCCTGATCAACATGCTCTTCCTGACACCCCCTCCTCTTACCCCGACAGTCAGACTCCTCCCTTCTGCCCGCCTATTTATTTAACTCTCCAATATCTGAAAGAGGGGTGGTATTCGGTTAAATTTTCCCCTTAAGAAGGCTTTCCCAATATTGTGCAGTTTGCAGTAACTAGTGATGCACTGTTAAAGGAAAGTTATGATTGGTTAACGATGCACTGTTAAAGGAACGTTATGAGTGGTTAATTTAATACAAGGTTAAAATTCTTAAAAGCGGAACTGTCATGCTGAACTTACCTTTCTTTAACCCCTTCCCAACCGCCGACGTATCAGGTAAAAAAACGTACCTGATATGTCCGCGATCGCTATCAGCCGCTCTGATAGTATTGCAGCGATACCTTGATGTCGGGGCATCATGCAATACCTCTAATTTCTGCCGGGCACCTGGAGAGCACCGGGTGATCGCTCCCACTGGAGTGATAACTTCTGGGTTGCTCCACGTGGCGCCCGGCAGTTAAGCAGAGTGTCGGAAGCAGTGGCGTACATACCGGGGTCGCGGCTGCGACCGGGTATGTACGCCACTGGGCCAGCCTCTTTCCTTGGGGGGCCCAGGCGGCGGCCACCTCAGGGCCCCCCAAGGCTGGCCCTGCTGACCCCGGCAGACAGGCTGGCTGGCTGGCCGGCGCGCTGGCTGGCTGGCCGGCGCGCGAGGGAGCACTTTCTCCTAAGTGCTTCCTCTTCCGCTCCCTCGCGCACCGCACTGATACCGGAGCCGGAAGATGACGTCATCTTCCGGCGCCGGCATCCCTATGCAGCGCGCGAGGGAGCGGAAGAGGAAGCACTTAGGGGAAAGTGCTCCCTCGCGCGCCGGACAGCCAGCCAGCCCACCCGCCCAGCAGCACCACTGGACCCCAGGGAATCCCCTCAGCTCTCCAAAAGGTAAGGAGGCTGGGGGGATTAAATTTAAATTTTTTTTATGTGTTAGTGTGTGTGTGTGTGTTATAGTGTGTGTGTGTTATAGTGTGTGTGTTAGTGTGTGTGTTAGTGTGTGTGTGTGTTAGTGTGTGTGTTATAGTGTGTGTGTGTGTGTTAGTGTGTGTGTTAGTGTGTGTGTATGTGTTATAGTGTGTGTGTTAGTGTGTGTGTGTTATAGTGTGTGTGTGTGTTATAGTGTGTGTGTGTTATAGTGTGTGTGTGTGTTAGTGTGTGCAGTGTGTGTGTGTGTGTAGTGTGTGTGTGTGTGTTAGTGTGTGTGTGTGTGTGTGTGTGTTATAGTGTGTGTGTGTGTTAGTGTGTGTGTGTTATAGTGTGTGTGTGTTATTGTGTGTGTGTGTGTGTTAGTGTGTGTGTGTTAGTGTGTGTGTGTTATAGTGTGTGTGTTATAGTGTGTGTGTGTTAGTGTGTGTGTGTTATAGTGTGTGTGTGTGTGTGTTAGTGTGTGTGTGTTATAGTGTGTGTGTGTTAGTGTGTGTGTTATTGTGTGTGTGTATGTGTGTTAGTGTGTGTGTCAGTGAGTGTGTCTGTTATTGGGCGTGTGTCTGCTAGTGAGTGTGTTACTGTGTGTGTCTTTTACTGAATGTGTTTGATGTCTGTGAGTGTGTGTTTGTCAGTGAAAGTGTATGTTTTGTAAGTGAGTGTGTATGTATGTCTGTCGCTGAGTGTGTCTCTGTCAGTAAATGTGTGTGTCTGTTAGCTAGTGTGTATGCGTCTGTTCGTGAGAATGTGTGTGTGTGTCTTCAGCATTTACCTTTCTCCAGCGTCGGACTCCCTTGGTGCTGGGGATCCCTCCGCCTCTCAGCTCCGAATGCACATGCGTGGCAAGAGGCGCGCGCACGCATTTAAACCACCCATAGGAAAGCATTACTCAATGCTTTCCTATGGACATTCAGTGTCTTCTCACTGTGATTTTCACAGTGAGAATCGCGGAAGCTCCTCTAGCAGCTGTCAATGAGACAGCCACCAGAGGCTGGATTAACCCTCAGTGAAACATAGCATATGTTTTCAGCTGCAGGGTTAAAACTAGAGGGACCTGGCACCCAGACCACTTCATTGAGCTGATGTGATCTGGGTGTCTGTAGTGATCCTTTAAGTGTGTGTGCATACCGCGGTCACGGGTTCGCAGCCCTGCAACCCCTGCAACCAGGTGCCTGCCGCCATGTGTTGCGGCCCCGACCCGCGCCGAGTAAGCGTGGGGGGGGGCCCATGGATCAATTTTCGCACCGGGGCCCCATTGGTCATGTGTACGCCACTGGTCGGAAGCCATCGGGCAGGGGTCGAGGCACTCAGTAAAGAATTAAAAAATGTAAATAACTTTTTTTTTATATAACCAAAAATAGTTAATCTTTACTCCCCTATACCCCCAGCCATGTGGCTCCCAAGATGACGCTGCCTTTCTAAAGTCAGTGCATCATGGGACTTCTGGGGTTGTCCCTAGCCTGCCTCATCATAGAGGCAGGCTAGGGTCATCCAATCAGAGCTTGCCCCATAACAATTTTATTCTAACTATGATCCCCATTTGTCTGATCATGTCAATATTAGTAAATATTGACTCTGATCAGTGTGGATCTCCCTCCCTCTCTTCATTTTTGTTTTAGTAAGAGAGGGAGAGAGATCTGTGTTTTAGCTTTAGAGAGATTTAGGTAGTTTTAGGTAGGGATTTGTAAAATTGTGAGACTCAAAGGCTTTTTTCAGAGCCATTAACCCCTATCTTGCCAGCAGGGCCGGCGCTACCTGTAAGGCGGACTAGGCAGCCGCCTAGGGCTCCCCTTGGGAGGAGGCGCCACCAGAAGCGCCGGCCCCGCTCATGCTGCAGCCGCCCGAGTGCTCTGCAGAGAGCCTCAGGCGGCGGCAGCTTTGCCCGGGCGGTGCATCCATGAGGGCGGACCGCACCGCCCGGGCGCCACATGGGGAGAGGGGCTGACAGGAGGGAAGCGCTCAGCGGTCAGCGCTCCCTCCTGTCATTTCGATGCGGGTGAGTTTGAGGGTCCGCTGGAAGTATTTGGAGTAAGGCCGATTAACAGGAAGTGCACACTGAGTGTGCACTTCCTGTTAGTCCGCCGGGTAAAAAAAAGCCCTGTACCCGGACCATACTGGGCTCGCCACGCTACAGGAGGTAGAGGAGAAATTGACATGGGGGGTGGACAGGTGGGGGGGGACAGGAGGGGGGGGACATGGACAGGAGGGGGGAATTGGACAGGAGGGGAATGGACAGGTGAGGGGGGGAATGGACAGGAGAGGGGGAAATGACAGGGGGAAATTGACAGGAGGGGGGGAATTGACAGGGAGGGAGTGAATTGACAGGAGAGGGGGTATTGACAGGAGGGGGGAATTGACAGGAGGGGGGAATTGACAGGGGGAATTGACAGGGAGGGGTGAATTGACAGGGTAGGGGAAATTGACAGGGAGGGGGGGAAGAAATTGACAGGGAGGGGAATTGATGGGGGAATGAGAGTGGGGAGGGGAGAAGAGAGTGACAACATGGGAGATGAGAGTGACAAGGGAGGGGGGAGAAGAGAGGGACAAGCAGGGGAGAAGAGAGTGACAAGGGAGGTGGGGAGAAGAGAGGGACAATGGGGGGAGAAGAGAGGGACAAGGTCGGGAGAGGGGGGAGAAGAGACTGACATCCATCACACACACACACACAATGCACCCCTTATACACACAGACAATGCACCCCTTGCAAACAGAAAAACACACAATGCTTTACACACACAGACACACACACACAAGCAATGCAACCCTTACACACAATGCATCCCTTACACACACAGAAACACACAATGCATTCCTTACACACACTCAATGCACCCCTTAAGGATGCACACACTCAATGCATCCCGTACATACACAGAAACACACCTTGCAGCCCTTACACAAACAAACACAGATTCACACAATGCATTCCTTAAACACATATCCGGACATCCACCTACTCCACCCCCTGTGAACAAACTCATTGGTGGAACATGAAAGTGGACCCTGGGACCCAGACCTTGAGCTGTGTAAAGGGCCTTAAAAAATGGAGCTGCTTCCCATTCTCCCAGAACATTGATTTTTGTGACGACAGTTACAAACAGGGAGCCTGTTCTACACCAGACCAGTGGAGCCAGACTGCAGCTAGAGCCCATCATCATCCTCATCTGGTTGTAAGTAGGCAATCTAGTATATTATTCGGGGCACTAATCTCTAGTCCCCAGAACCACTTCAGCTTAATGTAGTGGTTCTGCTGTCCATAGCCTGTCCCTGCAGGCCTTTTAATGTAAACACGGCGGCACTGCAGCACTGGCGTTAGTTAACATGGCAGATCATATGGGTGGGGCATTGTGATGTCACCTGGCGGCAAACTTTACTTTTGCCTAGGGCGGCAAAAATCCTTGCACCGGCCCTGCTTGCCAATGATCAGTATTATCACTGGCTGTTGCACAGAAGCACTTTTTTGCTGTCTGTGCATTTTTTTAGGAGTTAATTTTTTTGTGTGTTTTGTTTTTTTGTGACAAATCACCAAGTAAAGTGATTGTAATCATGTCACAGAGGTCATAGAGGTCGTATAGCACTGAGGAGGCATATGCCATCCTTGCGCTAGAGTCTGGCGCGTCTATGTCTCACTCCGACCCTGATTTTGACCCTGTCAGGTGCTCAGATACATCACTAGTGTCTGCTGCTAGTGATGTATCTGTGGCTGCTAGTCCTCCTGCCAGAAGGAGACGTGCTGCTCCAGCTGGCAGTACTTCTGAGGAGTGGGTAGTGCCTCATCGCCAGAGGCCTGATATCCCACCCTTCACTGCAAATCCTGGCATCAATGTGGATGTTGCAGGATTTAGCCCTCAGCAGTTTATGGAGGTGTTTCTGGGCGATGATGTATTGGGGAACATTGTCGCCCGAACTAATTTATATACCCATCAGTTCCGTGCTGCAAAGCCCGACTCTTTTTTGGCAAAGCAGCAATGGGTCTTCATTGATGTGCCAGAATTTAAAAGATTCTGGGCATTGACTATGCTGATGGGCATCATAAAGAAGCCCTCCATCTGCTCCTACTGGAGCAGTAGCCCCAT